TGTTCAGGGTTCTGTGTTGTGTTCAGGGTTCTGTGTTGTGTTCAGGGTTCTGTGTTGTGTTCAGGGTTCTGTGTTGTGGTCAGGGTTCTGTGTTGTGGTCAGGGTTCTGTGTTGTGTTCAGGGTTCTGTGTTGTGGTCAGGGTTCTGTGTTGTGTTCAGGGTTCTGTGTTGTGTTCAGGGTCTGCAGTAAATCTCACTGTTGAAGCTGTTTTCCTGTGTCTGTGTGAGAAACTGAACTAATAACCTGCAGAGATTCAAACACTTGATTTATTCTCAAAAGTTGAACAAACAGAACTGTCAGTTTTTCTCAGAGTTTAAACAAATGACTCGTCTTTCAGCGGGGAGCGATGGGACCAGGCTGGAGTCTGGACCCTGGTCTGTGGTCCCGTGGTGTGTTTGGTCTACAGCGTTCTGATGAGCTGCTTGTGTGACAGCAATGCTTTTAAAACTGTTTTATGTGTCCTGAGTTTTTCACTGCGACACCACAGAGTTCAGCTCTTCTCCTGAGTTTGTTTCTTCAAAAGAGAATTTAGATTTTTAAACAGATTAAAGAACCGAATGGAGTTCAGAGGGGTCAGGTTCTCAGTCTCTTTGGGTCTCAGCTCAAAGGGGTTCTTGACTGTAGTTGGTTTCATGTGAGATATGTTAAATTCTTGGTCCTGGTGTGATCTCTGGTCTGAACCCTGGTCTGAACTCTGGTCTGATCTCTGGTCTGAACCCTGGTCTGAACTCTGGTCTGATCTCTGGTCTGAACCTTGGTCTCAACTCTGGTCTGAACCTTGGTCTCAACTCTGGTCTGAACCTTGGTCTCAACTCTGGTCTGAACCTTGGTCTCAACTCTGGTCTGAACCTTGGTCTGATCTCTGGTCTGAACTCTGGTCTGAACTCTGGTCTGAACCCTGGTTTGAACCTTGGTCTGAACCTTGGTCTGAACTCTAGTCTGATCTCTGGTCTGATCCCTGGTCTGATCCCTGGTTTGAACCCTGGTCTGATCTCTGGTCTGAACCCTGGTCTGAACCCTGGTCTGAACCCTGGTCTGATCTCTAGTCTGAACCCTGGTCTGAACCCTGGTCTGATCTCTGGTCTGATCTCTGGTCTGAACCCTGGTCTGGACCCTGGTCTGATTAAATACCTCCTGATTGATGCTGGGTATTCTCTGGGACTGTGGTTCAGGTCTGGTCCACATGTGGAGTCCTGCTCAGCCTGGCCCTGTTGTGGGTTTTCCACTCTAAACAGAATCATGTTGGTCTGTAAACAGAGTTCTGATGGACAGAACCACCCAGGTGAGTTTCATCCTGTCTGCTCCGTCATGATGCTGCTTCTAATCACACTTTCCTCTCGTTCCTCCATCAAAACATCAGAAAATAATCAGAAAATAATCAAAGAAAAACCATAATGCAGTGTGTAACGTTGTACCTCCTGAAACAATCAGCAGAATAAAGTCAGAGTTTGAGTGATCTGTTCATCTAAACAGACCCAAAGCTCCAGTTAAAGAGTCAGACCTTTACTGACCTGAAACCTGTGACTTCATGTTTCTGGACTTGTTTCAGACTGAGCCAGACCTTCATCCAGGTCTGGATTAAATGCTCCTATAAAACCCAGCAGCCGCAGACTGGACTCATAAAGATTGAGTTTCTGTCAGAACGCTGAGCGCTCCTCTTCATGGGTGGTCATGAAACTGCTCTGCTTCTCTCTGTCTCATGGACACATCCAGACTTTAAAGGAGCTCAAACACTTTATTTACTTTGTAAAATAATAAAATTAAAGTTCTCGTCTTTAAATTCTAAGCTTTTTTCTTCTCTCTGCCAACTTTCATTTCATTTTATTTGTATTTTCTTTTTTATTGTACATAGAATTACATTTGTTTTTTTTTAAAGAAATTAATAAAGTTTGAAATGAAAAACTAAATTAAACTCGAGACCTATAATCTCTGACCTGGTCAACACCAGGTTCAAAAATAACTCAACTGATTAAACAGATTTATTTGTTTAAGAAAAACGTAAATAATCAGCTGCTGGTTTAAAGAGGTGACAGGTCTGAAGGTGACCTCTGACCTCTGGAACCAGGTCCCTCAGATGCTGTCTCTCTGTCTCATCCTGTCTCTGCAGGTGTCCTGTCTCAGCCACATAGCAGCTAATTACCTGAATGCAGGGAAGGAGGCGCAACGCTGGGGGACGGCCCACGAGAGCATCGTTCCATACCAGGTAACACCTCCACCTGTTGGTGCCGACCCTCTACCTGTTGGTGCCGACCCTCTACCTGTTGGTGCC